GGAGAGAGGTGTGTGTGTAAAAAAAAAAAAAATATATATATATATATATATATATATATATATATATATATATATATATATATATATATATATATATAATTTTTCATTTTAAAGCAAAGATAGAGTAATTAAAAAACTGACATTTTAAGCTGTCTTTAGCATCTTATATAAGAGATTAGCATGGCTAGCATTACCAGAGAATAGACTCTTGCTCTCCTTCCATAAGGCAGCAGACATTTCTAAATCCAGCATGTTTCATAAGAGTTTGAGAGCAGCTCCTGTATTCTCTTCAGCCTTCCTGTTTTCTGCTGAGATCCTTTCTCTCTCCCCTCTCTCTCTATTTGTAAAGCATATCTCAGCACCATCGCAGTTCAAAGTGCTTTACATAAAAACATAATACTGTGACCAACTCTAAAGCAAGCAAATAAACATTACATTTTGTCAGATGTCATCAGCAAAATCATCAAATATGTTGATCAATGTTCTAGTTATTATTAATAAAAGGCAACTCTAAACAGGTGGGGTTTTAACGTTGATTTAAAGAAACTCAGTGTTGCGACTGTTTTTCAGTTTTCTGGAAGTTTGTTCCAGATTTGAGGCTATTTACATCCTGACATCTCTGAGCTCATTTTCAGATTTTATTTTTAAATCCTCACCTGGTGCTGAGCAGCAACAAATCCTAAGCGATGTTGAACTATGACACACTGAGTGAATGGGGAAGTTTGCATGTTGCAGCGAAAAATTGAAGCACGTGGGGTGAAGCAGGTCAAAATGCATCAACACGACGAATCTAATATGGCATAAAAACAATGCCATACTTGACGGAGTTTGGCTACATCGAGGCTCACTGCAGTAAAAAAGACATACGGAGCGATCAGATATCAGGTAAAGCAGCGCACAGATACAAACACTCACCCGGATTAGCATGACGGTCAGAAAGCTAAACAAATAACCCGCGAAATTATTTAAGTCTTCGAGCTGCGATGTAAGACGCTGGTTCTGCTCTCGCTGTTGAACCGCTGCTACAGGTAGTAATATTTCACAGACGGAGCGCCGCTTCTGCTCCACCTGGTAGTGACTCTCACACCGAACCTGCTTAAAGCTGCAGCATCTAACTTAAAAAATACATTTTACATACGTATTAAAACTTTCGCTGTCCTAACATGAGACAGATAATCTCTGAAAAAATAATTGATCTCCTCCCTGTTCTGCATAATTACTCCGCTCAGTCAGAAACAGCCAATCAGAGCTAGCAGTAATCTGCTAGCCGCTATGCTATCAGGAAGTTTTCATTCTGTAACTCAGGATTGTTTATTGTAATGGAACCTGTATTTGCCTTTGAATGTTAAGTTTTATACTTGAACTTTTTGGCAATGTTGAGAGGTTTTATTTTGGCTCTTTGTATTATTTAGCCTCTTCAAAGCCTTCATATGTCATAAGTCTGTTAAAGATAGTATTATCAATAGCAGTACAATTTGCACAATGCCTGTTTTGTTTTTTTCTTGGAAAAAGTTATTAAAACAAGTTTTTGTCTAAATTAAGGTGAATGCATGGTTCCTTTATCCACATAAAGTAACCGGTAGTGTTTATGATTAAAAATATAATAATTATGTGATCAGTATCGGTGACCGGCCCTCATGGGTGATCAGAATCGGAATCGGCAGGAAAAAACCTGATTGGCACATCTCTAATACATATATATAATTGGAAAAAAATGGGTCCAATCTTTATAATTTTCAGACAGTGACTCGGCCATCACAGCATTAATGCATGAACACACCAGTGTCAAGAGGTCACTGTCATCTCCATTACTGCATGTTAGAGAAGTCAAGTGGCTACAAACCAGGAACACGGTTCCACCAATCTACCATGAAGGGTTGTTTCTGACATGCTGTCTGTCCGTTTGTCTGTTGCTGTTTTTGCTTTTACATTTAGTTATTTGGTCAACTTTGCAACCAAGAGAGAACTTTTGTATTCTTTTGAAAGAAAAAGAAACAGAGACCTTTTTTCTTGCAACCTTTCTAAGTAACCCAAATCAGTTCAGCGTTATTCTAACTGCACTGTGATGAACTTTAGCATTTAGCATGCTAACTGAGGCCTGTAGAGTCTGATCAGCAGCAGGGAGGTTTTATTTTTTCTGAGTAATCCATTAGCTGAACTCAATTTGAACTTTCTGGTTGGCTGTCCTCAATGCTTTCCACTAGAGTCTACTCAGCTAGCTGATTGCTAACCATTGAATTCTTGTATAAACGGTAAAAATCAGCATATTTTGTTCTCTGCAACGCAGCTGCAGTTCAGGGTGGCACAATTCAAAAAATGAAAGGCATCAGATGAAAATAAACAAATATTCAAGCGACATCTCAAGAAATGAGCCAGAAAGCAAAATAGAGACGACAGTAATGGGCCAAGAAGTGAATCTGAGGTTATTTTCACACCTGACAGTCTGGTTGACTCAGTTCAATTGGGGACCAAAGTGGAAACATTTGTTCCATTTTCAGCCGGTGTGGTTCTCTTTCACACTGACTGAGTTTGTCAAACAAAACAAACTCGCTGAAAAACCTGTTCCCTCCCTCACCTGTGGGGGCGCTTCACTGAGACTCACTGAAGGAATCAACTTAAAAACCTCTGAAGAAGACACTGAGCACAACTTCCTTCTTAATGAAGTGTAAAGAAAAATGAAGTGGCTTCAGCTTTCAGCGCTTGTATGATTTCTCTTTTGTCTTTGGTAAAAGACCACAAGTCATTTCTCCCACCAGCGCTGTACTAAGGCGTTTTGTTTTGGTTGTATTTACCCAGAATGCCTTGCGCTATAGTTTGCTTCGGGGTGGCTTCCAAAAGCAGGCACTGGAGTGTAGGAACCGCCCCAGTTTCACTTCAACCAATCTGCGACCTAGGTTTATAGGAGGACTAGAGTTTGCCTTCGATCACACATTCACACCTCCACAAACCAGCCGGACTGTCTTGGCAAACGAACTAGGATTTGATTGAAGCAAACCAAACAGGGCTGGTGTGAATGAACTCTGAGTCTCTCATCAGAGGCATACAATAAATCTGACTTATATTGATCTATGTGAATTGCCTGGATTGAACTCATGGTTTACATCAAAGACCTACAGGCTAGCCTTTGAGACTATTTGCAAACTAACTTCTTGCTTTGAATAAAACAGTAACAGTAATAAAACTAACACTTATGATCAACACCTGGTTGTCAGCCGAACAAAAGGCTTTAGATGGACCTCTGCTACTCCTGACTGACGGTATAATATGTCGTGTTCTTTGTAGTTTTGGCAAATCCCCTTTTATTCTGAAAAATGAGAACTTTTCTTCCTGGATTGTTGTCTTCTCTGCTTTCCGGGTTTTGATAATCTAAACTACATTCTCAGCAGACCAAATCATTGACATGTCCTCTATTAAAAATGATACCAGCAGTTACAGAGTTACAAATAGCCTCTTTTGACCCAAGAACCCTGTGTAGGTGGTTTCACTGTGTGTCCTAAGGTTGTTGGTGGCGTTTATCCTTTTCAAGCAGTGTCTCACTGTGTGGAAATGAATACTAAAGTCTCTCTGCCACAATAGATCTGTAGAGGTTACACAATCCAAGGAGCAGATCGCCTTAGATCATTTAAGGCAGAGCTTTGGGGATCAAAGGAGAACAGGAAAACATTTATGACAGAAAAGATTGAGAGCAAAAGAATATTTCAGGAATCCTTGAAGCCTGAACCTCCTGAGCTTGCATGACAACGGCCCCCTGTGGAGAAACAATGCCATTCTTGTGTATGTTCAACCCTGCATCACAGTCTCTTGGGGCCCCTGTGTACAGGTGCTTCACAGAGGCCCCTGTGATAACGCTCAGTTCCCTCCCTCCTCCTCTCTCCCCCATCCTCATCCTCAATCGCACTCCTCACCATCCACCCGTTCCTCCCTCGTTTGCACTATTTGTCACCCCGTCCTGTCTCACTCTTCATCCTCCTCTTCCTCCTCCTCCTCTCCTATAGCTCTTAGCGTCTCTGTTCCAGGATACATCCCCAGCTACCTGGAGAAGGATGAGCCGTGCGTGGTGTGTGGGGACAAGGCCACCGGCTACCACTACCGCTGCATAACCTGCGAAGGCTGCAAGGTACGCCGCTGGAGTTCAGGGCTGGACCACAACTGCTGCACAGCTCACATGTCATGTTACAGCCACACATTTTAAATATTGATACTTTGTTAAATAGAAAATAACTAAGTAGTGTTTTGTTTTTTGCTCTTTTTTTTAAAATGGGGGAAAAAAATGGTGTGTTGTTTTGGAAATTAAAAATGAGGACAAATGGGCCACGCACGCGTTCAGGCCCCCTAAATCAATAATCTGTCTCTGCCAGCATTACATTTTCCAGACTTACTACTGATTCTCAATCGGATTTATGTCTGGACTTTGACTGGGTCAGTCAAGCACTCAAATTTGTTTCAATCTAAGTGGGGCTGCAACTTACGATTATTTTAATAATGGATTATTCTGCTGATTTATTCTGATGATTAATTGATTAATCAGAAAAGAATTGCCACATTCTGCAAATTTTCAATTTGAGCCTTTTTTTTAGACAGTATTAGAAATGCATCAAAAATGAAAATAAATAAAAAATAATTCAATTCCTTTTTTTTAATAAAATATACATTTTAGTACTTAAAATGCAATAACAGCATTCCTTTAGTGAAAAGATGCATCTGCGGCTAAAGCAGATTCAGAAGAATTTATTGTCATTGTCAGAAAGACAACGAAATTGCAGTTTCAGTTTCAACCATCCATTACACAACAACACGGGGGTGGGGGGTTCTGGGGATAGAACAGACCAACCAAACACTTTTTTATCTGGTATGCAAAATGTATATTATATTTTTTTGTACATATTTTGGATTTATTGAGCTGTTCTGAGTGTGTTGTGCTTTTAGAAACTGGACTTTTTTGAGTTTCTATATTCCAGTTAACTATTCCTAAATGAGTTGATCATTTCAATAATTGAATTATTAGATTACAAGTTAAGACCTGGATCTAACCATTCTGTTGGAGCTCATCTGAATGTTTAGTTGAATCTGTCTTGGCTTCCTTCCTGGGTTTCTCTGTATTTATCTTCAGTAATCCTCTCATCAACTCTTCCCTGCTATAAAAAATGAGGTCACCACAACATAATACTGCCACCACCTTGTTTCACGTTCACGGTGATATTCAACCCAGTTCATGTCAGCTGATCAAATTCTAAAATGTTTAATTTGAATTTAAAATACACTGTAATGCATTTAGTAGTTATTTGTTCTAACTCTTACATGTGAATAAAACCTTTTTGAAATTTCATGTAAAAGATAAACTGACCTAGTAAAGAGTGCTGATTGGGAATGTGTGGAGTTTCTACAACTCGGTTATTAAACAAATTTAAAAGACTCGTTTCCACTTTTGTCACATTCCAGCCAGACGTCTGTAGTTCTCCGTCCAGGAGTTAGCTCATGGATTTCTTGACTTTAACCGTAACGGTTTTTGCAAACTCCTTTCTTTTAACTCCTTGTATTCTGCCTATGAGATCAGGCTACAGTAAGCTAGTATACCTCAGGTCAAACAGTCTTTACTTTCTTGTGAGAGCTTATGTAAGACGTCCACTTATGTTATTGCTTGATAACTTGATCACTCCACTGTTCTTGGAATCCACAGACACCATGTGATGAGATCAAGGAGCAAAAAGAACGCTTAAGTGATAAATTAAATGTTCTGGTTGAGGGGTCAGGTTAGATTATTGAAACTGAATCTTAAATCCTCTGAACCAGGTTCTTTGACCAAACTGGAGATTTTTGACGATGGTAACGGAGCGGTGAGGATTCAGTCCTGCTTTAAAGTCAATGTCATGAAAGATAGTAGGAGAAATTGCATCATTGTGACACAATAGATTGTTTCGTACGGAAAATAATTTCAAGCGATTTCAGCAAAAGGCGGTGACATTTAGTCAGATGTCGTTCATCAGACATATTCTTACCGATATGCGTATAATGATCCATCCAACTCAGGAGACCAGGTGATACAAAACATTATGGGGACACCTAAGACTTCCAAACTTTTTATTTTCACAAAATAACTTTCACTAATTGATAAACATAGTTTAAAAACTTTGCCATCTTCTTAGGTTGAAATACCTAATACATTGTCTCTGTTTATTGCTTGTCTAATTCGTAGATGGCCTTAATGCCCCCACCCCCTTTTTCCACATTTAATTGGGCATTTAAGAAATGCCCAATTCTTAAATTGAGGCATTTAAGAAACATTAAAATGCCTCAATTTGTGGTTTGTTCGTTTGTTTGTTTGTTTGTTTTTTCACAAACAACATAAAGGTATTTAAAGACTCTCTGTTCAGTGTCGAATTATCCAGCTCAGGTTTGAACTGGAGAAAGTAGAATAAACAGCAGACTATGAAATAGCCCTTTAAATGTTGTGCCACTGGTGGAATTTATTGATTTTTGCTTAGCCTAAAGAAAGCCGATAGAGAAGTGAAAACAAACAGCAAATAGCCCGAGGTCAGGAGTTGAACCAGGACAGCTACGTAGAGGACAATAGCCTCCTCACATGGGGCGCCAAGCGGCACAAAGCCACGACTCAGATCCTAACTTTACCTTTGTTAGCTCCTGTAGGCCAATTTTAGATCCCGTCTGTCACTCTGTCTACATTTTATTTTTCTACCATGTGCTGTAAATGATGCCAGATAAACAGGCTTGCTCAATGCTATGGTCAGCCGACTGGTGAAACAGATGTTTCTGTTCGCCTTTTGCTAGCCTGGTTAAAAACCATCCATTTATTCTGTGCTTTGCTTCGTACAGAGGGTCTGGACTTCCAGCTATTGAGAAACAATCGTTTGCTGGACGCGTGGACTCTGATTTTTGAATTTTTTATTTTTTATTTTTTTAAGAATTTGTCTTGGGAGTAGTTGCCTTTATTTGACAGTAGTCTGACAGGAAGGGGACAAAGAAATCCAGGAAAGGAACTATAGCCTCCATATGCGTGGCGTCTGCTCTAGCCATTGCGCCACGCCACTCCTTGACTCTGTGAGTTTTAAACACATCAGTTAGTGATTTTACCCAATCACTAACTTTTGACTGGGCATCAGCCGAATGAAGCTGAGTGGAAATTGCGCATGCTGTACACTACCTTGTAGTGAGTAGGGCCACAACAGCTAAACGTCTGAAACATACCTATTGCTCCAACTTTAATTTCTCAATATTTGGAAGTGTGTCCAACACGGACTGAACTTTGCTCATTTCCTTGACACTGCAATGCTAAAACAACATAGAAAATTAACGTCACTGTTCACAACTCCTCCTTCTGTTTGCTGAATGACTTGATTGAAATCCAGCTGGAGAAATTGAGCTCAGTGGGAGAAATTCCAGACAGAGCAAAGATGAGAAGTGAGCAAAATGGACCAGGGTAATTCTCTGCAGGGAATTTAAAAACTACTTCCTTTTATACTTCAAAATAAGAGACTCAAACATAGCTACAAATGTGTGTAATGCTATAAGCATTCATTTTTAAAATGAAGTTTTTCCAGTAGGAGCCTATTCTTATTTTCTCAGTCAAAATCATATGCTAACAACAGCAATGCGCTTTGGGAGATATGTCATTAAATATTGTGACATCTCTGACTAGCCCCTTTATAAAAACATTTTGTAGAGTGATAGGGTGCTTACTGTCTCTCATTCTGTCCCTCCTTACAGGGTTTCTTCCGCAGGACAATCCAGAAAAATCTCCATCCTTCTTACACCTGTAAATATGAAGGCTGCTGCATCATTGACAAGATCACACGCAATCAGTGCCAGCTGTGCAGATTCCAGAAGTGCATCTCTGTGGGCATGGCCATGGACTGTGAGTCATCCCAAACCTCTGACTTAGTAAAATTAAAGGCATATATTGATGTAGTAGTTAGCTGCTAGATACAACACAGAGCAGCTAACTAGTTGCCACTCCAAGCTGCTAGCTAACTACCACACTGTGCAGCTATGAGCAGCTAGCTAGCTACCAAACCGAGCTGCTGGCTAACTACCACACTGTGCAGCTATGAGCAGCTAGCTCATACTAGCTAGGTACTACACTGAGCAGCTAGCTCAGTGAGCAGCTAGGTTGTGGTCCTTTCGGTCCTGTTGATAAGATAATTTCAGGATACTTTGTAAAACTTTGTAAAAAGCCAAACTCAGAACTTATTGAATTTTTACCATGTACTCAAGTCTGCATCTCTCTATATATGAAACCACCAACCCATTAACTCCACCCATTCTGTCTCCCAGTGGTGCTGGATGAGAGCAAGCGCGTGGCCAAGCGGCGCCTCATCGAAGAGAACCGAGAGCGGAGGAAGAGGGAAGAGATGGTGCGGACGCTGCAGATCAGGCCGGAGCCAGACAGCGCAGAGTGGGAGCTGATCAGGATGGTGACTGAGGCGCACCGGCACACCAACGCCCAGGGCTCCTCCTGGAAACAGAAGCGCAAATTTCTGGTAATTTGTAACTTTGAAGAGAAACAGTTTATTTCTAGGGCCGCCACACATGGTGAAAGCTGTATAAATCTGTAAAGTTTTCACTTTCCAACAACGATTTAAGCGGATTGTGCAAATAAGAGAGCTTAGATGTATTACAGAAATTTAAGCCTATTTTTAAAATTCACTTAGTTATTGGTAGTGTTTTACCAAATCAAAGGAGGTAAGAAACTTCTGCTCAAGAACCGAGAACACAACACTTAAGTGGTTTAAGTGTTTAAATCACTTAAGGGTAGTTTAAACAACACCACTGGTTTAACAACACCACTGTTAAAGTGGTGTTGTTAAACCACTTTAATAGAATTCCAAATTCTTAAGTTAATAATCACCTTCTTTAATATTCACATAAACTCTATACATATACAATGACTTAGAACAATTGTTGACAGAAACTAAATTTTTAGTTAAATTCTTGTCACAATGTCAGAATTTTTACCAAATTTAAGCAGCTAAATGTATTAGTAAACCATTATTACACAGTGCAAACTAACATGCTTTGTCATAATTTCAAAACTTTCCAAAGGTCCTTTTTATTGTACCAAAATAGTAAAGTGAAAGACTAAGCTTCAGGAAAAGGTTCCACTGATTAAAACCCAGTTATAAGATTTTGAATATATTGTGGTAATCAATGGATACCTTCATACACTGGGTTTAGAAAATGATGGTTACCAAGCAACCATTTAATACAGAAGCAAGCAGTTTTACACTTGAATACATTTGTGTGCAGCGATTTAAAAAGGGGAAGGACATTCAGGTCTGAAGAAAACACTGTGTGGGAAAAGCAGGCGCAGCACAATGGCTGCTGCTGCTTCACAACCTCAATGCTGCTTCACTTCAGAACGACCCTGATCTGTGCAAACAAAACTTTGGAACAAAAAGTCCTTATTGAATATGTTTGAATTTTCAAGAGTGCATGCATGAGTTTTTATGTTTTCACCAAAAAAGATTTTTTTTAAATAATTCATTGTCTAAAGCAATTCAGCAGTTTAAATGAGGAGTCAGTATTTAAAATGTCCTTTTTAAAGGTCCGACCAAGGACTTTTATAATTTGTACAGATTTGTGAAATATCTTTTGACTAGTAACCGTTTGTGCAAAACAGTTGCATTGTTTTTAATATGTAACATTGTCCTTGATTAAGTAAACTTAAATAAATGCCGTACATATATAATTTACTACAGCTTTGTAGAACCAGGTGATTACTAAACTATGTCTTCAGTGACTCTAAAAGTCCATGAATATACATGTAAAAGTTACATCAACAATGTGTTTATTTTTGTGCAAATGACAGATTTTTTTTTTTTTTAGTTTATTTAGGAAATTGAGCTTAAATCTGCTTCATTTATTGTCAGTAAATCTCAACATATGTACTATACACTCGTACATCCTGTGTGGGTTTTACATCCACAGTTTTCTGAGCGGACAAACCGTATTTTAGTCCAAAGTTTTCTCTTCTTTCTCCTGCCTCATTGACTGCTGACCGCGTTATTGTGCTGTTTGCAGGCGGACGACATCGGCCATGGTCAACTGATGCCCACTTCAGACGGAGATAAGGTCGACCTGGAGGTCTTCAGTGAGTTCACCAAGATCATGACCCCTGCCATCACCCGCGTTGTTGACTTTGCCAAGAAACTGCCCATGTTTTCAGAGGTTGGTAGGAAAGGATGCTAAATGTTGTTTTTCATGAAACAGTTTATGATGCAGTCTCTTTCCATGCCGTGCTCAAACCTGTCACTTCAGTTAAATAAACACTAGTTGTGAAATCAGAACTAAACAAGCCAAAGTAGGTATGTCAGTAACAAGAGTTGCATTTATTGCCACCGTAACATGTTATAACAGCCTCACAAAAGTTTTACCTGCAAAGTAAAAGAAGAAAAATTAAGTTTTTCAAATATTTTGCAGATAAAAATCTGAAAACGTTGTTGTTACTAGCCCCCTTTAGATTGATATCCACAAACCCGACATCATCAGAAGCATTTCACATCATCATGAAGTTCTACTCAGAATGTTTCACTTGTGATCCTGTTGCAGTCACTTTCTTAAATCTATTGCATTATGACTTGATGTGAATTATACAATACAGTACAATGAAATGTACAATTCAACAGGCCTGTCTGTCAGGGCCTAACTAGCAGACTGAGGGCAGGTCCAAACACACCATTCCCACAAAAATTCACAAATTTATACCTCACTTTTCTGATTTTAGTTCTAACAAAAATTGTTGACCTTGCCTTAACTGTCTTTTTGCAATGTTCTATGAAGGTTTTGTCCTATTAAAAGCAGTAACCCTGAATTCCTGTCCACCTGCCAGCTGCCTTGTGAAGACCAGATCATCCTGCTGAAGGGTTGCTGCATGGAGATCATGTCACTGCGCGCCGCCGTGCGCTACGACCCCGAAAGCGAAACGTTGACGCTCAGCGGCGAGATGGCCGTAAAGCGTGAGCACTTGAAAAACGGCGGGCTCGGGGTGGTTTCGGACGCCATATTTGATCTGGGCAAAAGCCTGGCACAGTTCAACTTGGATGACTCCGAGGTGGCACTGATGCAAGCGGTGCTGCTCATGAGCTCAGGTGAGACAGCATCACCTTTTATAGGAAGAACTACTTGAACTGGCTGCAGTGAACATGTCGTATTACCAGTTCTTCTTTCTGCACTGGCTTCAGATCGGTCGGGGCTGATGAGCGTGGAGAAGATCGAGCGGTGCCAGGAGGCCTACCTACTGGCTTTCGAGCACTACATTAACTACCGTAAGCACAACATTCCCCACTTCTGGCCAAAGCTCTTGATGAAGGTCACAGACCTGCGGATGATCGGCGCCTGCCACGCCAGCCGCTTCCTCCACATGAAGGTCGAGTGTCCAAACGAACTCTTCCCGCCACTCTTCCTGGAAGTCTTCGAGGACCAGGAAGTGTGACATCGCGCCCCGCAGCTTGGGGTTTGGCAGTAAAGGAAGCATCGGCCATGGATGAACATCATAGGAAAAAACTGGATTTTGTTTTCATTTGTGAGAACGTGCCCTGTACATTTTTCTGTTATTTGCCCATTTCTGTCAAACACAAGACTTTGACCTTCTGCCACCAGCAAAATCTCATCAGCATCATGAAACAGGTGTTCTACAGCTGGTAGTTTTTCAAGACTATGCCATAAACGTGCATCTATATGCAAATCCAAATTGCATCTATGAGGAGGGCTGGACTGGTGCCACACCTAATGCAAACTGAGGGGCTTTGCTAGCAGCACACCTTAGTGAAATCTCAAGCACATGTCTTCGAGGGTTTTTTCTTGTCCTGGACCTGACATCTGGCACTTTTGACAATCCCAACAACCATCCCACTGAACTCCCACCTCCCCAACATCTCCAAGAGCAAAAGCTTCCACTTTCAATCCACTGAGTGTTCGTCAACCTACCTCCGTCACACAAACCTTCACACTGAGAAACACACTCACAGAATGTATGTGCACAAAAAAACAACACCCCAACACTGTTACCTCATTTCTTGTCAAATGTATTTCTTTATTTATATTTGGTGGGCAGGGAGGAGCCAGATGTAGTTCAGTTAGAGGATATGGAGCCATGCACCCCACAGTTACCCATATGCTACTGGCAACTGCTGAGAGAACATTCAGAGAGAACTTTGTGTAAAACACTAATCTACAAAGCATTATTTGTACTACAAGTCTTATAGCCGAGGACACTACAGCAATCACCGTGCGTCACTAGATGTGATGAACATCACAGTGCATTCTGTAAGCACTAAACTGTGAGTATGTATGGAGTCTGATTTGAGTCAGTCTTGGCAAATAAAGCTTTTTGAATAGCGAACATTTGCAAAGTGCAGAAACTCAACATCGCTGTTCAAAACTCCTTCGCTGATCGGCCCTGTTGTAATTCATCCTGAGAAATCAAAGCCAATGGGAGAAATCCCTGAGTGGAGATGAGAATTCAGCGGAGTTGCGTGGGAAGGCAACGGCCAGATGACTGGTGCTCCTTCAGTCTTTTGGGCTTTACTTGCGAAGGTTCTCAAATCATATTTACATATTTTTAGGGTTATGAACAAATTTGTCTATATCTGCATATCCCAATTGGTAAAATTTATGATTTCCAAGCAAATAATCTGAATAAATGTATAGCCTATTCATCTTAAGCTTTTGAGATCTATCTCCTTTATTCTCATTGATGAAATGTTTAAACAATTACAATAACCCCTGGAGAGCTTTGTCTTTTTTTTCTACACATTTCTATTTGGTAATTACAGCTTATGTGTGACTTTTGTTAGTAATTTTGATAACTTTCTCACTTTAGCTGTTTTTAGTTGATTTTCAAGATTTTATCAAATTTTATTGACACAAATCTCGTTCCATTATTTATGACATGTTCCAGTAAGGAAAACATGTCACATTAATCTGATCAATATTTAAGATTAACTGATCAACTTTAAAACATAGCACAGTGCTTTGAACACATTATTATAATCATTATTATTATTTGTTTTTAGAAGAAGCCAAGAATTTATGAATTTATACATCAAATGCATGGCTTCATAAAGAAGCAATGCATTGATTGTCTGCTGATTTCCAACGTGACTCATTAGCAAATGTTAGCTGTTTCGCTAATATTTCCTGCGGTGTGGCCTTCAGGTCATTATTTACGGCTCTGACCAGATTGCTCGAGCTAATTTATTCCTCCATTTCCAAAAGAACGTTTGTAACAAACATACTTCAGCTGCGCCTGTAAATTTAAAGGCCTTTTAAGTACCGGAGCACTGAATTATTTCACTGAGCAGTTAAAACACAGCTTATCAGTTTAGCATGACTAGAGGGCGCCTGTCCATGAGTAGCTGAAATCTGCAAATACTGAAGACTCTCTCTAAAAATGCTAAATATTGCCAGTGGGGACGGAATAGGGATGAATTGGTGAATTGGCCCGAAGCTGACTGTGCAGTTGCATAATTTAAAAAGATAATTTAATCTGGAATTGTGCACCATTCAAGTCAAAAATACTTTTTTGATCCCAAAAGAAAATAAATGTTATTTTAACTTGTATTCATTCAAATTCTTCAGAGTTATTGTAGATTGTGATGGTCGCTGGCAGGAAGGATCTCCTGTATCAGTCTGTATTACAGTAAATTTGAAGAAGCCTCTGACTAAAGACACTCTGTTTATGGAAGACACTCTCATGGCTTAAATTAAAGCACTACCAGCCCCAAATTTAAATCTTGAAAATGACCTAAGCATGTAGCAGTCAGCTATTTTTTTTTTTTCTTTGGCAGCCAGACATAAGATACTAGATCTTTAATCATCTTTGGAAAACTTCTAGATCAAATCATAGAGGATTGGGTCGCTGTTCCCATCAGCTCATTGTAGTTCTAAACTTCAGCCTTTGATCTTGTAGTGTCATTTCTAAGTCGGTGTGTTTACAGAAAGCACTTTTTATTCAGAACATCTAAAAGCTCTTCAGCCATTTCCAGCCTACACAGGGTGTCTGCATGTAGAATACCTCACCCAACTCGTACCTCCTGATTCATTACCTCACAGACACACATTCACTTTTCAGATGTTTTTACTCTTTCTCATTGGCTTTTCTTTGTTCTTTTTATTTATTTATTTATTTTAGCCCTTTCTGATAAGTTGTGGGAAGCAGCCTCTCAGTCTCCATGTGTTCTCATCTTGACCCCCTGACCTGTTTCCTCCCGAGCCGCACCATCCCTGGTAGGGACCTGTAGCACCCCCTCATCTCCCCACTCAACCCCTCCGCCCGTAACTGCCTGAAACCAACAAGACTCTACCTCACCTCTCGTCTCCATGGAGCCGCCCCTCAGAACCCAACACGAGCACATCTGAAACTTAAAACACTAACGCAGTTATTAGCTGTGCGTCCCCACTGTGAACGGATACGTCAGCAGCGTCAGTCTGCTGAAGGCGCTGCTCCTCTTTAACGTGCTGTCTGTCGCTTTCACCTGGTTTGTTTTTCTAACTGCCCACATGGGACCAAGAGTCGCTCTGAGTTCAGGGTTTTTCTTTCAGAACCAGAACTTGACGGCAGCCTGGTGGGTGAAGGAGTGACGGTAAATGAATGAACTTCGAAGAGACCATGACAGCGTTCTGGCGGGTGGAGCCGTTTCGGCCCGGTCGGGTCAGGACTCTGGTGGGTGACTCAGCAGTTTGGAAAGCACATAATGGACTAAAATCCTCCCCGGAGAAATGAACACCCGGCCTCCAGAAACCTGCAGGGAGAAAAGCTCTGTGAACCACGTCTTCAGGTGCCATCCACTGCAAAACAAAAAAAAGAAACACAGACTTATCAGGTTCTGTTTTGCACTAAAACCATGCTGTCTGTATCCTGAACCGCTCTGGACTCTTTTCCTCTCCGTCTCGTCGTCCTGCCGTTTTCATCTTTCACTCCATCTGTTGATTCCGGATGGTGAGGCTCGGGCAGTTAGGGGTCACTACTCACTAGCTGCGTTTCCATTGTAAATGTGTGCAAATCTTTGACGATATTCTGCTGATGTCAGGGAAAAAAAACACAAGTTTGCAATTGATGTGTTTCCATGAAAAAAGGAATTAAATTAAAATCACATGTGAATTAAAACGCGAGAAGTCATTAAAAATCATGTCAGGATGGTTGTAAACAGCTCCATGAGATTTATAGCGCTCATCATCTATCCGCCGAGATGTTGACATTTTATTCAGACTTTGGGGCGACAAGCCCCGCCTACTTTGGAGCGGCTACGTATGCTGCAGTTTGGGGAAAAGAGACCATCATCCTCCTTCCACTTCCTGTCTTCTTCATCATCGTTTTTGCCTGTACTAACATCGAGCTGTTGATCACGTGACTTGTGCGATGCTGAGAAAAAGTGTTTCCATCGAAGTTTTGCAGAATACACAAAGTTTGATACCGAAAAATCACAAACCTTTTGTCGAAAAACCTGAGGTTTTTTTTTGTTTGTTTGTTTGTTTTGTTGTCGTTCATTCTGATATATGTTCATGTGCCTCACATGGGTGTATTGTTACACTTCATAGTGCTTGCAGAAATATTCGTACATCTAACTCTTTCACAACTTTGTTGCATTACAACCACAAACATTGATGTATTTCACTGGGATTCCATGTGACCAGCACCAAGTTTCACATGATGGAGGTGAAAGTTTTACATTTTTTGAAAAATAGGAAATAAGTTGCTCCTATTTGAAAATTTGGGGAAATACCAATATCCAATATTTATATTGCTGTTACAGCTGATATTTATCTATATTATGTGTTTCACTTCTCCTTCAACACCTTGAACAAACCACAGCTGACTTAATCACAACACTACCCACAATCCTTTGCTGCATCACCATCACTGTCACATGACCAGACAAACATTACACCAGCAACGTCGACCCCTCCCCCTCCAAAGATAAACAGCAACAAGATAGAAATAAATATCGGTTGTTAATATCGGCCCAGCTTCACTTATCGGTCCAATACATGATTTTTAAAACGGCCAGTATCTACCGATACCGATTTTAGTGCTGATATATCGTGCATGCCAACTCAAAAGCTTACTTTGACACTCCTAAATAGTATCCAGAACACCAGAATGTGTAATAAAAAAAAAAAGTCACCAGACCAGAAACATGGTGGTGGCAGCATCATACTGTGGGAATACAGACAAAGAAACATTTACAAGATAAATTATATAGAAAAAGTATTAACTATGCATTATTACTGCCAGTCTGTTGTTAAACAAACATCCCCACAGCATGATGCTGCTACCACCGTTATTTACCACAGAACCATTCATTTGTGTTGGTCTGGACAATAAACTCCCAGTAAACTACATTAGAAGTTTTTGGTTGCAATATGACAACATGGGACAAAATTAAAAAATGAAATGCAGTATGAATGCTTTTGCTGTGGACTATCTGTACTATACATATAAATATCTGTAAATATTTAAAGCTAAATATATATATATAATATAAATATTTCTATGCACTCAGGCCCAGTCAGATGATTTCTCCAGGTGACAGAGTCTGGATGAAAATCAGCAGCATTTCTCTCCGGCTGACATGACGATGCTTGTTGGACTCGTGGCGATTACCAAGTAACCTTCTCAGTCCGCTGACCTTTGAGCTCGCCTGCAGGTCCAGCCAGCTCTCTCCTCTGTATTTTTTTTTCTCTTCTTTTTGCTTTTTGCTGAGGTCGAGGGTCAGCGTTCCCCGTCGGTGATGTAGATGTGAGCTGGCAGCGCCTAACAGTCGGCGGAGGAAAACCACACCAGCACTCGTTTATCTGCTCCAGGATCTCTGGAGTTGCTCCGGCTGCTGCAGCTTTAGAAGCCAGCTCCGTTTTTAATTTGACAGAAAAATGATAATTAACTCCAACCCAGGACGACTTTACAACCTTTAAATCGAAGCCGCAGAATTAATCAGGTGTTTGTTTTTTGTTTTGTTTTTTCACTTTGTAAAGAGAGAATTGTGATTTCTCTCTCTCGTGTTTACAGTCGTCCAAACTGTGAATCAGATGCTAATCTCTGCCACTGCACCAAACCGTAACAGCTGAGGCGTTCTCCTCCTGACTTACCCAGGGGAAACGGCTCTGTCTCTAGCTCCGTCTGTCCTCCTGTCCTCTGTCTCTCTGTCTCTGCCTGTCCTGCACCCAGACGCCCACCCTGCTCCTCGGAGCTCTCATTGGTGGAGGAAGATATGACAATCCCTGCAGGAGTGTGTCTCCATGTGGAATGTAAAATACTGCAATTATGTGATTAAAGACACATTGTGAAATCTTCAGTTTCTTGTCGTTTTACTGGTTTCAACTAATCGATCAATTGAGCGTTTGTTTTTTTACATGTCCTGTCCAGCAGTGTGACACTGAATGGTTTTCTGAATGTGGAGGTGATGTCCAACAGAGTTACTCTCACTAGTGGAGTGTTCAGGCTTTCGCTATGAGGATAAATGTGGGAAACTTTATTAGAAATTGGTTTCAGATGTAAAGGAAATGGGAAAAAAGTGAAATTATAAAAAAGGAGAAAGGTGGGAACAAGTTTACAGGGAAAGAAGCACAGAGGGAACGATTAGAAAACTGTAATAAGAAAATAATTTTTTTATGTCTCCTGTGACTCCTCGGAAGTACAACGTTGAGACGAGTCAGTATCAAAAGAAGTCTGCCTCTAACCTGCAGAAAGAGAGAAAAGAAACAACAGAAAAACCACAGCAACAAACAGCATGCATGTAAAAATAATAATAATTATAAAATCACTGAACTGTACACGGTACAAGTTAATACAAAATATGTTTAGTAGAAAAAATCCTTTAAATTTGCTGTTGGGAGTAAAGGATGGTTAAAGTAGGGGGCGTTAGTGATGTCACTGTGTGTCACTGCCAGGAGAACCATAGTCTTTGGTTTTAGGTGTTTGTTAGATAAACTCCATGTTGGGCTGTGTTTCCTACTAAACACTAAAATCTTTCATCTGGACGACGTTAAACATGCAGGCCAGAGAACGATGGAATGGGTTTAGACTCAAATATGTTCATGTGCTCTGTTCATTTTCGACTTCTGGGAATTTTCTGAGTTTGAAAATTTAAAAAAAATTTCAACTTTTGAGACTCAGAAATTGTTCATGTTTTTTCTAGAAATGTTCTGAGAGTCATGTCAAAATGTCTGTTTTTTCTAACAAATTTGTGACTTTCAAACTCAGAAATGTCCAAGTTTTTTTTTTTTAAAGATGTCTCAGATTAATCTAAAAAATGGGTTTATTCAATCAAATTTTCTACTTTCCAAACTTAGAAACTTTCCTGTTTTTCTTTTTAGAAAATTTCTGAGTTTCTTGGCAGAAATGTACTCCTTTTTTCTACAGTAGCTCTAATATAGTCATACAGCTCTCTGCCCTGCTGAACAGTATGCATCCTTTTCCTTTAGAATTATTTTAACACAAAGTAGTGTCTGTTATAAAATGACAAAATGTAAAATCTTTTCCATGCTTCTCTGTTCTTCTTTCAGGCAGCGGTGGTGATAAAAGCAGGACTGTGTTGTCTCGGCTTGCAGCGTCTCTCCAATAACTTTATTTGGTAACACACAGGCTCTGATTACTGAATCAGAGGAGCATCATGTGAGACTCAGCTCCAGCAGCTGGGCTCATCACGCAGCCACAGTTTTTCTCTTCTAGCTGTTGATATAAAAGCTGAGCCTATTTGGCCTGGAGCCACTCAGATAACAATTCAGAGGAAACAGGATCCGTTGTTCTCTTGTTTTCTGTAACAAATCGCTGTCGGCACAATCAGAGGAAAGCATTCCGATAGTTTAAAACCTTTTTAATTTTTTTTTTTTTTTTTTTTTTTTTTTTTGGGTTTTAGAATTTTTTTCGGTCAAAGTATCTGACCATTTTTGGCATCTGAAGGGGAATTGTGACTGGTTTCATAGCCGTTAAGGCAGCAGCTATTT